GCCAATGTGAAATAGGTATCACGTGTCCTTGTGCTGTGTCAGTCCCAGTCTAAGTCTCTCTTCTCTATCTTCCATTGTTCCCCCCTCCCCACCCCACCATAGGGACGCCTGTCACAGCAGACTTTTGACTCCCCGAGTGATAAGCCACAGTTTCCTGGGGCGTCTGCAGAGTTTGTGGATCAGCTGGAGTTCATCCAACCCAACGTGATCTCTGGCATCCCAGTGTACAGGGTGATGGATCGGAAGGGTCAGATCATCAACCCTTCCGAGGACCCGAAGGTGCTGTGTCTTCAGTACGCATGTCTGTCACATCACTCGTCGTTCGTCTTCTCATGGTCCCGCTCTGTTCTCTGTGGTCCCCTGCCCCTCACCAGCTCTCCAAAGAGACGGTGTTGAAGTTCTATCAAAAGATGACTTTGCTGAACACCATGGACCGCATTCTCTACGAGTCTCAGAGGCAGGTGTGTGGCCTGCACCTTTGTCTTTGCGTAATGGGCTCAGTTCTCTGGCGTGTGGCAAGAAGAACAGAATGACCATGTTTATGGACTGTCCCTGTTTGTATGATCGTCAGGGCCGAATCTCATTCTACATGACCAACTACGGGGAAGAGGGGACTCATGTAGGCAGTGCGGCTGCTCTCGAGCCCAGCGACCTGGTTTTTGGCCAATACAGAGAAGCAGGTGAGTTCTTGGTCTTGGCTTCCCAGCAGCAGTGAGAGCAGGTCTGTGCAGAAGCTATTAAAGTTGTTTAGAGTGGTGTACAGTGTCCCATGGTCCCGTGTTTTAAATATGCTTGGTACACTTCTGGTGAATGAGGAGAACAAGGCCATTCTTTGGTGATCATGGTAAATAAAACTAGTGTTGGTCATCAGCGTCAGGGAGCTTGTCAGATGCCAACAGTTGCCTGTTACATCTAGAAAGAAAACTTGAGATGCTGTCAAGATCTTCTGAGGTCAACACTGGTCTTTTGTCCCTCGCTGTCTGCGACTTACCACTGCCCCCTGCTGGCCACAGGTGTGCTGATGTACCGCGGCTTCCCCCTGGACCTGTTCATGGCTCAGTGCTACGCTAACGCCGATGACCTCGGCAAAGGCCGACAGATGCCTGTCCACTATGGGAGCAAGGAGCTTAACTTTGTTACCATATCCTCCCCACTGGCCACACAGATCCCTCAAGGTAAGCATGCACCCCCCCCACATCCCCGCCCCCCCTTCCGTACAGTAATAACAGCTCCTCCCCCCATTCCACCCCAGCGGCCGGGGCGGCATACGCGATGAAGACACTCAACTCGAACCGCGCTGTGATCTGCTACTTCGGCGAGGGGGCAGCCAGTGAAGGTGATGCCCATGCCGGATTCAACTTCTCCGCCACCCTGGAGTGTCCCATCATCTTCTTCTGCCGCAACAACGGCTACGCCATCTCCACACCTACCAACGAACAGTACCGCGGCGACGGCATCGGTTAGCTACCTCCCCCGCACCCCTCCCCCGTTGCTCCCCTTAAGGCGTCCAGCCTACGCCGTGACCTGCACAAGTGGCCAACGCCGTTGTGAGCAAACGTGTGTGATTGTCGCTCAGCAATTACACCCCCAAAACACTAGGTGATACATAGTTTTGGATGTTGCATTTATTGTCTTCCCATCCTGTGCGATTGTTGAATCACCCAAATTGAAACAGAAGAAAACAAACATTTAACAAAGTATCGATTTATCGAGTCCTGGTCATTTTTGTAATGTTGCAAACTTCCTGTAGAGAATTATGGAAAATTATCGAGCTGCTACAAAGTCACTTTTTTATGCGTTTTCCTTTCTAAAGTTAGTGCCTATGCTACTTTTTATTTCTTCAGTCTTACATACCAATTAACTTAATGGAGGTAAGTGAAATTGGCGCAGGCATCCTGAGTCTCCTGTAGACCTGTTGTAATGACGCCCAGGGCGGATTATTTAAATGCTAGATGTGAACGATATTTCTGTTTTAATCAGCCATGTAATTGACCTGGGATGTACACTTTCTTCACTCCCATAAAAAAAAAACGAATACTACCACGTGATCTATCACAGTTCTTGTGGTCTGCGTCGCCGCCATGCGTAGTTAAATTCCCAGGGAGGTGCGCATCAGGCTATGGCGTAGGATCCATACCCCCACCCCTCCCCAGCTGACGTCCCTCTCCACCGTGTGTGTTTGTCCCACAGCCGCGAGGGGCCCAGGCTATGGCATGATGTCCATTCGTGTGGACGGCAACGACGTGTTTGCCGTGTATAACGCCACCAGAGAGGCCCGTCGCAGAGCCGTGGCTGAGAACCAGCCCTTTCTCATTGAGGCCATGACATACAGGTGACACTGTCCAGCATCCCGCTGATAAAAATGAAAGCACTTTGACTCAGTATGGTGTAGCTCCCCTTCCTCTATCTGTCTCCGTGACTTCTGCTCCCCACCCGTTCCTTCCCTCCCCCGTCACCAGGATCGGACACCACAGCACCAGCGATGACAGTTCAGCTTACCGCTCTGTGGATGAGGTGAACTACTGGGATAAACAGGACCACCCCATCTCCCGGCTGCGACACTACATGACGGCTCGCGGCTGGTGGGCCGAGGACGAGGAGCGCTCCTGGCGGAAGCAGTCGCGTCAGCTGGTCATGGAGGCCTTCGAGAAGGCCGAGAGGCGGCTGAAGCCGCGGCCCGAGTGGCTCTTCACGGACGTGTATGACGAGAACCCGACTGGCCTGCAGAAGCAGCAGGAGGCTCTGCAGAGGCACCTCGAGCAGTACAAAGAGCACTACCCCTTGGACCTGTACGATAAGTAAACCCCAAGATGCTCCCACGACTAGATGGACTTCCTTGTTCCTCCTCCTTGGGATTTTCTTTTCCTTTTCCCACTTCATGGTCACTCTTTGCTTACATGACAAACAGAACCGGGGCTTTCCCATGCAGGATGTTCCGCAGCACGAGTCCTGTTCTGCGTTCTCAGTGTCACCCGGAAGGATCGCACACAGTGGGCAGGGTATAGCCATAAAATGAACAGACACTCAGGACTTCAGCTCACTGCTTGAGTCTGAAATCCACAAGCTTGTATTTCAACACTAATCATTAGTACAGTTTTCTTTATATGAATATATTTTCATGGTGTAGAATAGGTTAGTGGGGGGGGGATATTCTCCAGACACTGAGGCTGTTAAACTAGTAGCTGTTAATAAGGTTCAATCAACTTGCTTTCTCAAGTCTGCCTTACCTGCCCTTCCTCATATTTTCCTTATGCTGTAGGCAAAGGGTTTTGTTGTAGCTGGGAGGTGTATGTGTATAGTGCCTCAACGGTCCAATCAAATATCATCAGGGCCCAGTTGTTCAGATGTAATCTGATTGGATCACATCTTGAAAATGGGTTGTTCAAAAGAAAAATAAAGGAGTCCTAAATCAGATTAGATGATGTCAGTCAGTCTTGGTTTTGATCTGGATCAAACCTTCAAACCTTTATAGTAAGATTGTGATACCTTTGATCCAAAAAATTAGGATTACCCTGATCCCAGCAAAAGGGTGGATTCATCTTAAAATGCAACCAGGAATATTTTAATGCATAGCTTTTATAAACATCATTTGTAATTATTTTACTGACGTTTATTGAAATAACGTTAACGGTATTCTGACACGCTGAGTTTGCCAATGTCAGCATTACTGTTGTTTCACAATATATTAATAATTAGTTGGCCACTAACATCAACTAAGAATTAAGTCACATTGCAAATGTTCTTTTATAACGTAAAATTATAACTTAACGTTGGCTAGTTAAATCTGCCGTTCTCTTGCTTTTCACTTATCTCTCACTCTCATCGGACGCATGGACTATAGACACCCAACTCTTACGTGCCTCTACTTCCTGCATCCTTCATTTCAAACTGAAAGCCCTCGGCAGAATTCTGTCCTTTCATGACATTTCAAAGCAGCGGTCGCAATAATTTTGCAGCGACGGGCCATTGCTGCAAAATATATATAGTGGAAACACTATGTCCCCTTATCTGTCCTCTTCGTCCCCCTCTTCTGTCCTTCCTCATATTTTCCACCTGTCCCCCTCTTCTTTCCTTCCTGTCTTCATGTCCTCTTGCTTGTCCTTCCTCATATTTTCCACCTGCCCCCTCACCTGTCCTCCTTCATATCGTCCACCTGACTGCTTCAAGCACTACACCTGTACTTTTTAGCATTTCATGGAGCAGAAAGGAAAATTTCCTTACGTACGTCCCTGTCCTCAGCATTTCACACGAGCTTTAATAGTGCTTCCCTTTCATGGCTACTGGTTTTACTTGTGATGCCGTTGAACTTTACTTTTCCCAAAACACATCTTACATTACGGTCACATCTCTACTTCAACAGCATTGTGTTAAATGTTTCACTCCTTCAGCATGAAAATAACTTACAGAAGAAGAAGTCAGCTAGTTTAAACTAGTTTGAAGCAGCTCACACAGAAATACCACAGAAACCATAATGCTGAATCTCCTTTAATCATTTTGCACAGAGTGGTAGAGTATTAAAGCTTTCAAAGGAAGAGTGAGACATTGCGCTGGTCTAAAGGGAGCACAGCAGAAAGTCGCCACTTTAACCAAAGTCATGTGACCAGGTGGCAGGTGCAGGCTCTGTCCACAAACAGCCTGGGCAGGTTTAAGGGAGCAATAACAGACGAAGCTTAAAAAACACTTTAGTGGAGAGATAATGGTACAAGTGTGGTGAACACCTGGCTGCTAGATCCCATTCTGGACCTAGGTGTGTGTGCGTGCATGCGCGTGTGTGCGTGTGAAAATGAAACAACCTCTGCTCGGTGACTCTGGGCTCTGGAGGGTGGGTGAGCGTGTCAGAGAACCCACTTCCCGTTCAGGATTGTTTATTATTATTATTATTATTTCCTGTGCTTCTCAGAATAGGGTATGTTTCCACATGAGCCTGCCTGGATTAATGGTTTATGAATTTTGGACAGATTACCTGTTCACAGACACAATAAACAAATGAACCACACAAGAACATTTGCATTATTTAATCAGTTTCATAAGTGTCGTGCACAGTTGTCTGTTTTTCAATGAGTATTTGTACATTTGGTTTCCTATGAAAACCTCACATGATTAGATTAGTGTCAAGTCAAACACAATTTGAGGTCAAAGTCTGATGCTTGTGATCGACTCTCCATTTAACAGCTGCGCGTTTATTTCCAAGATCAGTCAACCTGTGTTTACATGTCCACATCTTAACGTGGATTACCGAAACTCCCAAACCTGTCCTCACTCACATTTGTTTAAAATAAATACTGCTTCCCTTTCATAGTTTGTTGGTTTTGTTTGTGATGCCATTGAACTGTCGCTTCCCCAAAACACATATTACGTTACAGTACATTTTTTTTTAACTTCTATAATCACACCTCTACTACACCAGCAAACTGTATCAGAATGAATTGGAACAAGCTAGAGATTGCTTTTTTATGGTATTACGTTGTATTTAGACTGCTTCCGGATCGCTGCTGCTCTGTTTGTGTTCACATTTATATGAGGATCTGTTTTAATGAGTACAGCCTGCCTCGCAAATTACCCAGCTGCTCCACCACACTACACTGGTAGCACAAGCAGGGCCCTACAACAGGAAGAAGCATCTTCCCAATTATCTAAACTTTGTGCATCTCTATATGAACCTCTGATATTTAGCCTAATTCCATGGTCGATCAGCTCTGGGTCTGAGTGTCCATTTACCACCTGTAATGACATCTGACCATTTCAGATGTTGAAGAGGCCTATTGTCTCATTTTCAGTGTCTGGAGGCTGTAGGGATCCATATAACCAACCATCTGAGGCTGTCTGTCATGTGGTTTGTGTTTGCCGTGTTCTCTGCTGCATCGTCACCATGTATTCATTGCACTCCTTTGTTCTCAAACAAACCTGCAGCTCACACTCCATGGACTCCTCAAATGCCACTTGACTTTCCCTGGGCCTCTAAAAGCTTCATCTGATGCCCAGTGACTTTCATGTTTAGAGACCTCAGCCCTGCCTGGATTCCCTTCTTCCCTCTTCCCCGCACTCCACCACAAGGGGGCACATCAGCAGGTGAGCAGGGGGCTGTGCACGTATCTCCATAGCCGCAGGGTCTGCTGTGGGCTGCGTCGGTGTACCAGGATTAGATTCTTGTGCACGCAAGCGTTCTCTCTGTCTTCCTGGCGTATATCAAATGTTCTGAAGCCATCGTGGGCTTCGGGTTTAATCCCCAGTGCCTGGAAGCACATCCCAGTGTACACGTCATCGATGGAGAAGAAGGGGATATATTTGGAAACCCTGTAGAGCTCTGTCAACAGGTTCCCAGAAAACAAAAAGCCACCCCCACCAGCGTACGAGGAGTATCCGCCTTCAAAGAAGGTTTTGGGGACATAGTATTTGCTGTTAGAGTCACGGATGGGGTCACTGTTAGAAATTATGTGACCCATGTAAAGCTTGGAGGCTTTGTTCGGATCCAGGGTACGGAGGTAGTCAAGCATGGTTTGGGTGTTGACGAAAACATCATCATCCCCTTTGAAAACGAAAGTAACACGTGGACAACGCGTCAGGGACCATCGGAAGAAGGCATTCTCCTTCAGCGTCAGGTTGTAGAAAGTATCCTTAAAGTCCCATTGCAGCACATCTCCAAAATGCTGCGCCTCAAACGAGACCAGCTGATTCAAGTTTGGGTCGTCCATAGACCACATGCCCAGGAGGAAGACTGTGCGCACTCTGAGCCCTCCCTCATACACCTTCTCCTGCCCCCACGTCTGACGCACGGTCTGCCGTCGCTCAAAGCTACCGGGGACAGATTTGATGGCGAAGAGGAGATAGACCTCCCCGTCCTCCTCTGACTGGCACTTCTGGGGCTGGTCGATTAGAATTGGGGGGTCACGGCACTCCATTCCACTCAAGAAGTCTTGGTAATCTTGTGGATAGGACTTGAAATCCTGGATGTTGGTGCTCAGTGACTCCAAGCTGATGGCCGAGCATTTGGACCAGTCCCCAAAATCGGCCTTGGTGACGTTGTCTTTTGAGTCCAGCTTCCGGAAGAGAGAATGTTGCTTCCTGTTCCAGAACGCAGTGCTCTGCTTAATGGCTTTCCGGTAGTCTTCGGAAATTTCGACCGGAGGGCCGGCGGTCATGAGCGGCAACGGATCTGTATTTTGCTGGACAGGTGGTGGCATGCTGACGATGACTTCCTGAATAGGATTGTCTTCCTGCATGAAGAGCTTTCGGGTGTGGTTCGCATCCGACCTCAGAGAAGAATAGAGCACCACAAGGAAAGCGCTGCTGCTCAGGGCAATAGCAACAAAGACCTTGGCGTGCCTCATCTTTATTTCGGGAGAAACTAATGCAACAGGCTTCCGTGAGGGCCACTCGTCGCTCGCAGTCTGGGGTGACAGCAGGTCCACATGAATTCACATGTAGCTTCACCTGGCAACAAGAAAAAAAAACATTAGTTAGCCTGCAATATCTGCTCCATGTTCATAGAAAAGTGCCCAGCTGCGTTTGTTTTTGCGCTCAGGTACGTTTCGCAGGTGATCTGAGTGGAGTCTGGGTTGTACTAAAAAAAAAAAAAAAAAAGCATGAAGAACTGGAGAAATATGCTCATAAGCTGATAACCCCCCCCCCCCCCACACACACACACACACACACACACAAACAGAGTACTTCACGCTCTGAGCTATATCCTTCTTGCAGTATTCATTCCACAGAGACCTGAAATAGTACTGTGGAGGAAAAATACGTTTTAATTTAGTTTCAGTTTAGTTTTCAACTAAAACGTTTGCGGTATAAAAAGTGCACAAACTTAGCTGCCACGCGGTCACATCAACAATTTCCTTTATGGACTGGAAGAACAACACACTGGCAATTAAACCTTCGCGAACAGGCAGCCATATTCAGCTCAGCCAAAGTTATATGACGAGAGAAAGATAAGCAAAGTGTGTGTGTGTGTGTGTGTGTGTGTGTGTGTGTGTGCGCGCAGGAGGACAAACATGTACGATGAACGAAAAATAAAGGCCAACTGTAGGATTAATACTAGGCGACTTGGCAGGAAGCCTCCCGCGCCAGCGATGGATTTGCCATGTCCTGGGAGGCCAATTAGAAGCTCAAAAACGAGCCGCACGCAGGGAAAACAGCGCATCTTGACTCCTGGTGGAGACAATCAGTCCTGGGCTCCAAGAGAGCAGCGGGAGCGGGAGGTGTCACTGCCGGCGCCAGGGGATTCATTCCCGGCGCCTTTCTAAAGATTAAAATGTGTCTCCCGTCAGCTATGCACAAAAAATTAAGCGATCCCTATGTATAACCTCCTGTTTAACCGGAGGACAGTTTGAAACGACCCCGATCGTCAATAAAGACCCCCGTTCAGTCAAACACCATTTAATGAAATATGAATTTAGCTTTCAGTTAACTGTAATAGTCCGCAGTATATTTTCTTACTTTTAAAGTTGCTAATCAGTATATTTAACCATAAATATCACCACTCGTTACCTGTTATCGTCGTTTTCTTCTGTCCGAAATGAAACGGCAGGGTCGCGACATGCGTGCGAGTTTATATACCCAGACTCTAGCGTGGCGTAATGAACCCGCCGATCCGGTTGGGATGCTTTAGATTGGGGCAGCATTCCATCTTTCCAGTCAATCGTCTCTGTCTTAAGTCTACAAATACCGTAATCCACGAGGAAGTGAGAATCGGTAGCTCGTGATTTTCGGAAAAGTGGCCAGCCCGCAGTAGCCTAACGCGTTAAATGCGGTGCTTCGGAGCGCCGGTGGAAAAGAGGAAACTCGCTTCTCGGTAACGGATATATCGCAGTATCCCAGGGAACAAACGTGCAATCATATGCAGTCAGGTCACGTAGTATTGTCCCTGTTCTTGTGATAGATTCAAAGCGAAGGTGTCAAGCGGGCGGAAATAAGCGATAAGAGCCAGACAGCGTGGGTACTTCCGTGTGGGGCTGTGTGTCAGACCACAGTTGATCCGCGGCATGTCGTCCCACCCACGGCGCTGCCAGTCGGGTCGCACCAGCCTTTCAGTCTACGGCAACTCCGTGCAATTAATTATCAAAAGGAGAACTTAAACAGATGATGTTAGCAGATAGTAGGAAAAAAAACGGCCTCGGTTTATACTACAAGGTGACACAAAACTGTCCGAACTACATCAATAATTAAAATACTAAACGCCTTGAAGACAGATATTTTGTTACACATTACGAAAAATTCTCTGAACAAACGTATCAAATGTAATAAATATGTAAAATCCTGTGTAAAATCATTAATATAGTATTGCTCCAACAGTAATGATGAGTAAACACAGGAGTCAACCAGTGCCAAATATATAGAATCCAGATATATAGAATCAGCAAAGGAGAACAGGCTTGGCAAAGCTGGTTATACTACAGCTAGCTGTATTACATTTTTTCAGACCATCCTGCCGTCATTGCAAAAATGAAGGGTTACATTGTCACAATCTCATTCCTTTGTCCAGAGCTACAATTTAAGGTGTAGAACTGCGTAGTATTAGTAAAATAGGGGTGACTCACAACATTATTGAAAGTCTTCCAACTGGGCGTAAAGTGCATTCCTTCTCAGGAGCTCCAGTAGCTCAACAAGTAGAACAAGAAATACTAACAATGCAAAGGCTGTGGATTAAAATAACAGGGAGCATATACCTAAACGCTTTACTCTACAGAAAGTTCCTTTGGATAAATGTAAAAGAAAAAAAAGTTTGCTGCTGGTGCTATAACACCCAAAACAACTGAGAATGCCATATGTGTAAGGTATTCAGATGGAGCTTTTCCACTGCCACCAGGAACCGAGCCGTACCTGAACCGTACTGTAAACCGATGGTTTTCCATTGTAAAGTATGCTAGCTGAACCAGACCTATACCTGTGCTGACTAGCAGGGCCAAAAGCACGCCTAATCCGAGTTGGTTGTGGTTTTCTGGAAATGTGGCGTATATAATTTTCACCATACTTATCAGGCACATGCCGAAGGAGGAAGGGAGGTCTTAAGTGCCCCTGTCTTGTCCCATTGTATTCGTTGTTGTACTTTTTGGCTACAGGGATAAGAAAGAACCAGTGATCAGTATCAATATGCACGGATTATGCATTCACGATAACTCAGAACTTGTGAATTTCTAATCTCCTACTTTAAAAAATTCTACAGAAAGGATTCATAATGCAAATTTTCTCAAGATAATGCCACTCCTGTTCGATGCTAACATAACATACTGATTCACACAGACATGCTACTGAAAATTAGCACATAGTAAATCGTGATTTTCACTGTGTGAGCAGTAAACAAGTGTCTCTTTGGTTTTACATCACTGGTGCTTTCTAAAAACGCCAATGCCATTATTGAGCCGACCACTCTGCTGTGGAAAACCAAAGCGAGCTGGAACTGAACTGTAACTAGTCTCTCTTCGTGGTGCGAGTCAGGTATGGCCTGGTTCCTGTGTGCCAATGGAAAAGTGCCGAAAAGTGTGCAGTTCTGATCAGGGTGGGGGTGTAAGTGCTGTCTGTAAAATTTGCTGATTGGGGGGAGGGGGGTGTAATCATTCTGACTAAATTTTAAATAATTTAAATAACAGACATTTTGCTACAGTTTCAATGATCATATTATCTTATATCCATAAGTTTAACTTGACGTGGCCCTTACTTTTTGAGACAAACTAATTGAGTCAAACCAAAGAATGCAAGTCATCTTAGGCACGTCAGAGCTGGAAAGAGCGGCTGTTGATAATATCATGCCTCGACAAGAACAAACCTGTTCCCTGCGTTTCACTCTTACCTTGACAATAACCATCTGGAAAATGTGTACATCTATAAAACACTGAGTGACCATTGTGTTTTTGTTCAAAGCTAAACACCCAAATACAAGCAAAAGTGAACAAGTAACAACGCAATATGACATTTTAACCTTTAATGCTTTTAGTATAAATAATACTCCTGTTTGGGAGTCTGTGACCATTTCAAAAGTAGTTTTGGGTCCCTTGAGGTATTACCACTAAATTAAACCAATAATATATACAAACCCCATTTCCAAGTTGGGATATTTTCTAAAATGCAATAAAAACAAAAATCTGTGATATGTTAATTTATATGAACCTTTATTTAATTGACAACAATACAAATAAAAGATTTGTACTGACAAGCTGAATTTTATTTTGTAAATATGCACAAAGTTAGAATTTGATGACTGCAACACACTCAACAAAAGTTGGGACATAGTTAAAATAAGACTGAAAAGTGCACAGAATATTCTGGTAACATTAAGCAGGTTAATCGTTAGCAGGTAAGGTATCAGGATTGAGGTAAAAGCAGCATCCATCAAAGGCACAGTCAGAATTCTTGAGAGAATTGTTAGTCAGTTCAAAATTAACGTTCCTATTGCCAGACTGCAAAGAATTTAGGTGTCGCAAAATCAACAGTGCATATTATTGTATAAAGGTTCAGATAATGCAGAGAGATTTCAGTGCGTAAAGGGCAAGGTTGGAAACCACTGCTAAATGTCTGTGATCTTTTGAGCCCTAAGAAACCATCATGCTACTGTGACAACAATAGCTAAATGGGCTCAGGAGTTGGAAAACCATTGTCTCTTAACACAGTATGTCACTGCATCCAGAAATGCAACTTGAAACTCTGTTGTGCAAGGAGGAAGCTATACATCAACTCTATGCAGGAATGCCAGCGAGTTCTCTCTGCCTAAGCTCATCTCAGATGGACTGAAAGACTGTGGAACGATGTGCTGTGGTCACGTGGAAAAAAACTGGTGTTGAGTCACAGATGAAACCGACCATCCAGATCAGCGTAAGGTGCAAAAGCCAGCATTTGTGATGGTATGGGGGTGCCTCAGTGCCCACAGCATGGGTGACTTGCATGTATGTGAAGGTACCATTAACTCTGAGGGGTATATTATGATTTTAGAGAGACACATGTTCAGACATGAAGTCTTACATCATGCAAGAATGGACAACATTTCCAATTTCAAAATTACTACAGTTAGTATCCTCAATTCCAAAATGATTAAAAGTGTTACTAGATGGAAAGGTGATGTGACACAATGGTAAATATGTCCCAACTTTTGTTGAGTGTGGTAGCCATCAAATTCTAACTTTGCATACTTTTACAAAAATACTAATACTTACTAATAAGCTGATTAGTGAAACTCTAATTGAAAATCTATTCTTTGTACTTTTACAGTTAAATAAAAATCTGTCCAATTTTTTATACCGCCCATCCTATTCAGGGTTGTGGGGGGTCCGGAGCTGGTCCTGGAGGCTATGAGGCAGGAAACAACCGAGGACAGGGCGCCAGCCCATCACAGGGCACACTCACACACCATTCTCACACACTCACTCACCATTCTCACACACCATTCTCACACACGTGCACGCCTACAGGAAATTAGGTAACTCCAATTTGTCACGTCCGGGATAGTGAGCTGGCGGTCAAGCAGGCAAGCGGAGCCGTGGATCTGGATTGACGGGGTTTATTCGAAGAACAGGCAGGGAAAAATCGAGGCTGGACATCGAACAGGACATTACATCACAATGACTAATCTGACAAGACTGACTGAGACTAGGACTAAATACAAGAGACAAGGCAAACGGAATAGGGAACAGATGACAACAATCAGGATTCCAACAGGAGGTAATGAGGGGGCGTGGCACACATGAGGAGCGTTCGGACCTGAACGTGACACAATTGGCCTCAGCATGGACTGTGGGGGGAAACCGGAGTACCTGGAGGTGACATGGGATGAACATGCAAACTCCACACACATGGAACCCTGGCAGCAACTCAAACCCAGGTCCCGGGGGTGTGAGGCAACACTGCACCACCGTGCTGCCCCAAAAACAAAAATCTGATTTGTTAATTTATTACATTTTAGAACATATTACAACTTTTCTGGGAATGGGGTGTGTATAATTTTACTTCACCTTACTTTTCAGGCACATGCAGGAGGAAGATGGGGGTTCTAAGTACCCCTGTCTTGTCCCATTCTAGTCGTTGTTGCCCTGTTTGACCAGCAGGTGTCACTGGCTATGCCTTTCTTTTCTGTGTTTAGTACCTGTCACGGTCCCTAGTGTGTTTCCCTGTTCCCTGGGCCATGGTCGTGGCTGAATGGGCTGAGCATTCAGCTGACAACTCTGCTTCCCTACCATTGTGGGTTTGTTGTTAAATATTTTGAGTTTTGTTTTCCTTCTTAGTTATCTTGTGTTCCTGTTATTTCTGTATTGGTTCTTGATTTTCCGCCTACTTGTATTTAGTTTTGTATTCATGTCCTGTTACTCTTAGTATTTTATTCTTGAGTCTTTCTTGATTGCTAATAACTATCACCGGTTCTTCTTTATTCCTAGCCTTAGTTAATCTCCAGCCGTTTGCTGTCTAGCCCTAGTTATCTATGTATATATGTACCTGCCCTTGCCCTTTTCCTCAGTCGATCGTTGTATGTTCTAACCTCCCAATGCCTCAGCACGACCAATGGGGTTAGCCACGTAGCCGTTGCACATTACACCGTAGCCTGATGCCTGTAGTTACATTTCTGGGGAGGTGTGCATCAGGTAACATCGTAGCGTACATGACTAAGAACATAAGAACATAAGAAATATACAAACGAGAGGAGGCCATTCGGCCCATCGAGCTCGCTTGGGGAGAACTTAACTAATAGCTCAGAGTTGTTAAAATCTTATCTAGCTCTGATTTAAAGGAACCCAAGGATTCAGCTTGCACTACGTTATCAGGAAGACTATTCCTACACTATGTCTATGGCATAACGATAGTATAAAAATATAAATCAGCCTTAAGCCATGCCCATGCACCCCCCCCCCCACGGTTCAAGCATCCGCCCCTAAGAGAGCAGACTGTCCACCATGTTAAATATGCAGTCTGTCTGGTTCCAGATTGTACTGTTAAACTCTCTTGCAGAACTGGTTTGTGCCGTATGCAAATGGAACTATGGCGTATTTTGGTAACACAT